GAGAACTTGCACAATTGGTGGCTGACTAAATACTTTTTTGCCCCACTGTATATAGTCCAGTACTTTCTCCCAAAACTTAGTAAATATAGGACATTGTAAAAACATGTGTTTTAAAGAAGCATTATCCTTATTGCATCTCCAATAAAATGCTGTCTTAGTCCTTTTCTATACAAACATAGTGGAGTCCAATAAATTCTAAACATTATTTTTGTTGTATAAGTTGTAATTTGAGGTCCATTGACACTCTTACTATAGAAGTTAAGACACTCTCCCATTGTCTAGGCAATATAGGAATCTCTAATTCTTTATTCTACTCATTTCTTAGCATCTGGATATCAAATTGATTTATTGATAACAAATATCTATAAAAACTAATAGTACATTTTTTAGTTTTAAAGGATTAAACAAGTTGCTCTAGTATCTCAGGTGTCTCAGAAGCTGAAAATGCTGCTGGTCCAAATAGGGTTGTTAATAAATGTAAATATTGCCATTGGGTTACATCTGATAGATGATATTTATCTCTTAACACAGCATATGTTAAAAATTCATCTTCATCATCTATCAATTGGTCCAAAGTCGATATCCCCACTTCCGTCCAATTTTTCCATATCGCGTTTTCCCCATTTTTAATGTTGGGTTTCCCCATAAAGTCAATTTAGGATGGGAAAAGGGGTCAAATCTTTTTTTATTAGACATTACAGATAGTTCTTGCTTAACAACCATTTGTTCAGCGACCATTTGAAATTACAACAGCGCTGAAAAAATGTACTTATGACCCGTGCCCAAAGATATGGCTGTTGCAGCACCCCTGTAGTCACATGATCAAAATTTGAGTGCTTGGTAGCCTGACTGCAGGGGTGCTGCAACTACCCCCACCCACCTATCTCCCCCCAGCTATGCCCTTTTGGCCGCCCTGCACAGTGGCACTCGGTGGCACCAGTGCCGGGGCTGGGTCTGAAGTAGGGGCCCAAGGCCTTCAGCAGTCTCAGCCAGCTGCCACCACCCCCAGGCCTCGACTTCAGCCCCAGTGCTGCCACTGCCACTGAGAAATTCCACTTCAAGCCCCAAACCTCTGGCCATCGCCACCTTGCACTGTTCCCCAAGCCATGCCTCTCATTCCTTCCCTAAAGCTATTATCTCCTCGTCCCATTCCTTCCCCAAGCTGCGCGTCCCATACCTTCTGCAAGCTGGTGTCCGATTCTCATGATCCTTCAGAAACTTTCTGGTCTTCCCCAGTTCTCACAAGAATGGGACGCTGGCTTTAGGGAAGGAATGAGAGGCATAGCTTGGGGAAGGCATGGGAAGCCAGCTTGCAGAAGGTATGAGATGTGCAGCTTGGGGAAGGAATGGGACGACGAAACAACAGCTTTAGGGAAGGAACGAGAGGCACGGCTTGGGGAAGGAATTTAGATATATCCTTTTGCCACTATTTAAATGGTGCATCAGTTCATTTTCTGGAACAAAAACATCGTTTTAGGCAAGACATTCATTTTTTTCACAGAAATTCTCCCCAGCAATGACAGTGGTAGTTTTTCCCATCTTAACATATCTTTTTAAACTTCATTCATGTCTTAACAATTAGTTTGAAATAACATACAATTCATATTTGTCATAGTGATACCCAGATATTTTACTTTCTTAATCTTAAAACCCGTTTTAATCTTAAAACCCGTTTTATTTATCAATTGTTTGATCTTCTATTTTCATATTTTTGTTAACATTTTCGTCTTCTGTTAGTTCATCTTAAAACCCGCTAAAGCACCAAATTCTTTTAGTTTTCTAATCAGTGTTTCAGTTCCCTTTAAAGGACCTTCTAAAACCAGCACCAAGTCATCTGCAAAAGTCCTTAACTTATAAATTTCTTTTTTAAACTTTACACCCACAATTCTCTCATATTTCTATTCAGTATTTCAAGAACCAAAATAAACAAAAGAGGAGATTGTGGGCATCCCTGTCTTGTTCTTTTTGTATCTCACAAGGCCTTCCTAAATCTCCATTAACAATTATTTGTGCTTTCTTTGGAGTATAAAATGATTTTACCCATTTTATAAAGTTCTATCCAAATTTCATATCTTCCAAAACTTTGAACAGAAAAACCCAATTCAAATTGTCAAAGGCCTTCTCCACATCTTAAGAGAATCAGTGTGGCTTGTTTTTCATTATGATGCTCCAAATATTTCAAAATGTCCAACACATTTCTAAGATTGTCCTTTAAGTGTCTTTTAGCTAAAAATGCACATTGATACTCATAAATAAATTCTTGCAAATTTATTTTCAGACCATCAGCCAGAATCGTTGTAAACAACTTGTAGTCATTTTTCAATAATGATATCAGCCTATAGTTTCTTGTTGAAGTCAAATCTTGTCCCTCTTTAGATATTAGCGCTATATTGGCCTCTTTCCAACTGGCATCTTTCTTCCTTCTAAGATAAAGTTCATCGTATTTTGTAAAGGTTGTAAAAGTTCATCCTCAGAACATTCATAATACGAACCTGATAATCCATCTGGTCCAGGCACCTTTCCTAGTTTAATCTTTTTTATAGTGTCACAAACTTCCTTATTGTTATAGGTCCATTCATAATCTGCGTCTGGTCCTCTGTAATCCTCGGTAAATTTTGTTTCTTTAGGTAGTCATCTGTTTTCTCCAGAGAGATGTCACTTGCTTTATACAAGTTAGAATAATATTGATGAAATGCTTTTGGCATGGCCACACTGTTAATATAGTAGCTCCCTCTTGTAGCTTCAGTATCATTTTCTTTTCTTTTTTTAGTAATTTATTTATATGCCAACCGTTTCCCTGGTTTATTTGCAAACTCAAAGTTTTTTTGCTTTGCATAGTTCATTTTTATTTCCATTTCTCTTACTATTAGCATAGATAACTGATATTGTAAAAGCTTAATTTGTTGTGAAATGCTTATTTTCTCTGGAAATTTCTATAATTCTTCTTTTCTCTATTTCATCCAAAATAAAATAGTATGTTTTCTCTTGGCTCTTCATTTTAAGTTCACTATTATGTTGTATGAAATAACCTCTAATAAAAGCTTTGCTTATCTGATTTAAAATAATAAAGAAAAAATTAAAATAATTTTCAACCAAAATTATTTTAATAAATTATTTTTTTAATTTCTTTTTACAATCCTCCACTATTGCTTCTTCCTGTAACAACATTTCATTTAGTCTCCATATAAAAGAACTGGATTTCCTTTTATAAACCAAACTCACAGGATTATGATCTGAAAAAGTCTT